GTAAGTTCATCCCAAACTTTGCCCACCTGACGGCGCCCATTACGGACTGTCTCAGCAGTAAGAAGAAGTTCGTTTGGACTGAGGAGGCGGAGCGAGCATTTGAGGAACTAAAAAGGGCCTTCGCCTCAGAACAACAACTCCTGCATGTGGATTTACAAAAACCGATGAGAGTAGAAACTGACGCATCAGACAGAGCGGTTGGGGCGGTGCTTCTGCAGCCATGGAAGGAGGAGTCAGAGTGGAGACCGTGTGCCTTTTTTTCGCGAAAGCTGAACAAATCCGAGAGGAACTACACGGTGTATGACCGAGAACTACTAGCCATTCATGAGGCGTTCCGGAGATGGAGGCACCTGCTAATTGGCGCACAACATAAGGTGCAAGTGTGCACTGATCACAAGAACCTAGAGTATTGGAGGACGGCACGAGTGCTCAACCAACGGCAAGTGAGATGGGCCCAGGAGTTCTCCAAATTTAACTTTGAGATTTGTTACGTGCCAGGCCCAGAGAACATTAGGGCGGACGCTCTCTCACGCAAACCTGAATATTTGGAGGGGGAGGGAGCACCCGAAGAGAGACATGTCATTCCAGAGGACCGCTGGGTGTGTGGGGCGGCCTTGGTGGGACAAAGAGAACTGGTAGAGGAAACAGAGAATGATGAATACGCCCAGAATAAGCTCAGGGGTCTTAGGGGTGAGGGAGAGGAACCAGGGGGTTTCGAGGAAAGAAATGGAGCTTTGTATTACAAAGGGGCACTGTATATCCCTGAAGGAGACTTAAGGGGGAGGGTACTCAAGCAGTTGCACGACAGCCCCACGGCGGGGCATTTTGGACAACACAAAACCATGTGGTTGGTCACCAGGGAATTTTGGTGGCCTAAGGTGAGGGAAGATGTACGTGAGTATGTAAGAGGGTGCGAGCAATGCCAGCGAGCCAAAGGGGAAAGGCGGGCGCCGGCGGGGCTATTAGAACCCTTACCAACCCCAGAACGACCTTGGGAGGCAGTGTCGATAGATTTTATGACTGATCTGCCGAAGTCCAAAGGGAAAACAGCCATCATGGTGGTGGTAGACCTACTAACAAAGATGTGCCACTTTGTAGCTTGCTCGCATGCAGTCACGGCGGAAGAGACAGCGAAGTTATTTGTAGAACACATTTTTAGGTTGCACGGGGTGCCATTGAGGGTGGTCTCAGACCGAGGAAAACAATTTACTTCCAGGTTCTGGAGGAAGCTCATGAGCTTATTGCAGGTGGAGGTCAACTTTTCGACTGCCCGGCACCCTGAGACCAACGGGCAGGCGGAAAGAGCAAACGGCGTCCTCCAGCAATACCTGAGGTGTTATGTCAATGACAGAGAGAATGACTGGGTAGAAAAGTTGGCGCTGGCGGAATTTGCCTACAACAATGCCGAGAATGTGTCCACAGGGATGAGCCCCTTCTTGGCCAATTATGGGTGTCATCCCAGGGCTTTCCCAGGGGGAGAAGGGGAGAGATGGAGCGTCCCGGCAGCCGAGCATTTTGTAGAAGAAATGGAAGCAATCCATCGTCAGCTCCAACTCAACTTAGAAAGGGCGAAGGAAGAATACAAGAGGCAGGCAGACAAGAATCGAAGGGAAGGTGAAACCATAAGGGTGGGAGATAGGGTGTGGCTGTCAACCAAAGGGTTGCCGTTCAAAGGAGGTTGTAAGAAATTAAGACCCAGGAGGTTGGGTCCCTTTGAGGTCATTCAACAGGTCAACCCAGTGGCTTTCAGGCTCCGGTTACCCAACCACATGAAACTGCACCCAGTATTTCACAGGTCGTTACTGTCACCGTACCAGGGGGGACGAGAAGGGATGGCCACTCGGGGACCGGTCATAGAAGAAAGAGAATGCAGCAGCCATGTGGCAGAAATCCTCGACGCCAGGTGGAAGGGGGATCAGGTGGAGTATTTGGTAGCGTGGGAAGGAGAACCGGAGTCAGAAAACACTTGGGTAATGGCCGAAGATATCAATGACGAGGTATTGATAGAAACGTTCCATAAAAGGTTCCCAAGGAAACCTCAGCCTGTGGAGAGGTTCCGGAGGGAATACTTTGGGACCACTGATGAGGAGGAGGAGTTGGAAGGATTCCCGGACTCGGAAGGGGAAGGGGAGATGGACTCTGAGGAGGAGGAGCACTTCGAGACCAGGAACCGCAACAGGTGGAGAGAAGTGTTCGAGACATCGGAAGATGAAGGAAGTTCATTCCGGGGTTTTGCCTCCTCACCGCCCGTAGAGGAGGGGGCGAGAGGGGGTGAAGGGGGCCCTGGAGGGGAGGTGGATGTCAGGGAACTGCCATCAGAAGGAAGGGAGGTGAAGGGTCTCACACAGGTTGAGAGAGACTCAGCAGCTGAAGAGGGAACCAGTAGGGGGAGAGGAGCTGAGCTGAGGGAAAGTGAGCTGGAGGGATGGCTCAGAGACACTTCCAGCGAAAACAGTGGGGAGGTTTCAGGACCTCCTGTAGGGACACCCACTCCTCGCCGGAAACTGTCACGCAGAGAGTCCAGAAGACGTGTTTCCGTTAAGGAGCTTTTATGTTGGAAGAAATTCCGGAAGCAGCCACTGTCGGAATCTGCTAGTGACTAGAGGAGCCATGTCTGAGGGGCTCCGTCACAGACAGAGGTTTGTGGACTTGAACAAACTCTGAGGGAATACGATTTTACGCACAAGCAGCTCATCATCCCATCACAGGAGGCTTATAATTTAGATAAGAAGATTGGTTTCCAGGAGGAAAAATCAAAATTGGAAACAGAATTGTTAGATCCTAAAACTAAGAATTTATCAAGAATGTATAACTTGCTGTTGAAATGGAATACACAGGATGAAACGGTTAAATCTGTTATGCTTAAATGGGCACAAGATTTTGGACATAACATTATGTTTGCTGACTGGGAACAGTTATGGACCACAGGTATGAAATTTACGGCTTGTAATGCCTTAAGAGAAAATATAATGAAAATGATTTACAGGTGGTACTTGCTGTGTAAAAATACTTTCTGATCCTTCCTTTTTATCTCACCACCTAAAGTTCCTAATAGGAATGCTTCTGGTTTTTTAAGAAATGTATATTTCAATATTTTCTTTATCTCATTGTATATCATTTCCCAGAAGCACTTCATTTTTTTACATTCCCACCACATATGATAAAATGTCCCTTCTTTCTCCTTACATTTCCAACATTTATTACTTGTTGGTTTCTGCTTTCCTTCACTGTGCAGCTTTGCTTGTCATGAGACAGGTATTTACATTCCACAGTCTGTACTGTTGGAGTTTCTCACGGGAAAGGGAGACTGGATGTGACGTACACTGGTTTCCTGTTTTTTTTCACTGTTGTTGATTCTCTCCGTGCTGTTGAGGAGAGAGGATGCATTTTTCTGCTCCGGCAGAGAGGCAAGATGTCTTTCTGTAATATACCAGCTTTGAACTGTAAATAAAGCAATTTAGAGTATGTACCACATTTTCCTCATCCTTCCGCTGGGCACGACAGACTCTGCTTTAAATCAACACGTGGTTATGGGGCTCCAGGAGTCGAATCGGAGTGCCGGCAAAAGATCGGAATGCAGAGGGACGGATCGGAAAGAAATCTGCTCTGCGCGTAGAAGTGATTGATGAGGTATGTGCTACTGCTCCGGGCAGCCTGCCAGCTTCAAGATAATGGCTTTATGGCTGGACTTTGAACTTTTAAAGCCGGTTTTGCCGGGAATAGGCAAAAGGCTCCCAGGCACAAGTCACTATGCTGGGGAAATCGAAAGTAACTTTTAAGTGTGCCTTTGGATAAGGCAGCTGCAGCAGTGACGCAGCAAGATTTAAAGCAGCATATAATGACGCTGAAGGCTAATGCTAGAGTCATGATGGCCCTTCAGGATGCTTGTGGGATTCCTAAGCTCAACAAGAAAAATTACAGCGACTGGGTTCAGTATGCAGAGGCAATTCTGCGGAAAGAGGGTTTGTTTGAGGTGATTACAGAAACCCCCCCAGTTCCAGTTACAGATGCATGGGAAGCTAAGGATTCCAAAGCAAGGGGAACTCTTACATTGATAGTATCCCCAGAAGAGCTCTGTCTATTGCGTGATAAGACCTCAGCCAGAGAAATTTGGGACGCTTTGAGAGAGGCTCACTTAAGGACAGAAGCTGGATCCACTATGTTTTATTTTAACAAGCTGCATAATATGGCTCTTGCTGAAGGTAGAGATGTGCCTTTACATCTGATGGAGATGCAAAATCTGAGACATGAGCTGCAACAGAGAGGACTCAACTTTCCAGAGGCTGTGTATTCTTTCATGATACTACAATCTTTGGGTTCAGGTTGGGAGTCTGTTGCAACCCAGATTGCTGTGCAACCAACTGCTCAGCTGACAGTGGACTTTGTTACTGCCGTGATTTTAAATGAAGCAGATCGCCGGGGTGCTAGCTGCATGGGCAAGGGAGAGTCTTCACAGACGTCATCCCATAGTGCAGTGGAACCACCAGATGGCGCCAAAGCTTTGCAGGCAGTGAAATGCTACTCGTGTGGACGTCTAGGCCATATGAAGAGGGAATGCAGACATCCCAGGGCCAAGACAGAGCAGCGCAGCGAAAGCTCATCGCGCGGAAAAGGCCGAGGCAAAGGCAAAGGTCCGGTGTCTAGGACAACGCAGCACAAGGCTATGGTTTCACGCTTCACTCCAAAGGTTGCAGAGGTCCAGAAGACGTCTAGATCTTTCTTCGTTGTTGATTCAGCGGCCACCCACCACATGTGCAACGATAAGAAACTGTTTGTGTCTTTTACACCGCAGGAAGGTGTGATTCACCAGGCGGATGACCACACTATTCCCAGTAAAGGCTACGGAACTGTTGTTCTTCACAGTTTGGACTTATCGATACAGAATGTGCTTTACGTGCCAGACGCCAAACATAATCTGCTCAGCGTTGGACAGCTGAATGAGCGGAACATTGACGTTTCCTTCAAGAACAAGAAGTGCATCATCACAAAGAAAAATGATTATGTATTGCATGCAGAATATGTTGATCATTTGTTTGTTTTGTATTATGATGATGTGGTGCAGGATGACACTTGTTGCATTGCAGGTTCTAACAAAAGTTTGCATGCAGAATGTATTCACGATTTTCATCGCAAATTTGGTCATTTGCATTTTGAGGCAGTATCTAAAATGCCTGCCTTGGTTGAAGGTATGACTATTAAACCCTGCAGGTACCACATGAAGTGCAAAGCATGCGCAGCAAACAAGGTGAAAATGGCTGCGAAAGGTAAGGTGTCTAGTAGGACAGCTACAGAACCATACCAGGTTGTTCATGCTGATTTGGTTGGTCCACTATCGCCCTCTTTGGGTGGAAATAGGTACTTCATGGTTCTCATTGATGCATTTTCTAGATATATTTTTGTGTACAATCTCAAGCAGAAATCGGAGGCTTTTCCTAGGTTCAAGGAATTCTGTGCTTGGTTGAAAAATGTGCATGGTAAGAAGATAAAGACTCTTTTCAGTGATCGCGGGGGGGAATTCACTTCTCAGCAGTTTGAAGCTTTTCTGACTGAGAAAGGAATTCAACACGATTTGTCTAGTCCTCGCTCGCCATGGCAGAATGGACTTGCGGAACGGGCAAATCAGACATTGCTTCAAGGGTTAAAAACCTTGCTGCATGATGCCAATCTTCCAGAGAGTTATTGGGCCGAATCTCTCTCGTGTTTTGTTTACAGTTACAATCGCAGGTTATCTTCAGCGACTGGTTGTACCCCCTATGAGAAGATGTTTGGCAAGAAGCCATACATCAAACACATGAAGAATTTTGGTTCTGACATGTGGGTTCGCTCACCACAAAACTCCAAGTTAGACAAGCGTGGATTGCATGGTATCTTTCTAGGTTATCAGAAAGGGTCTTACAGAATAATGATGACTGACTCTAAGACAATTAAGCTCACGAGAAGTGTTGAGTACAATGCAAAGTGGGGGGAGAATGTGGGAATTTTCCAATGTTATCCTGATGACGGTGATGAGACTGAGGATAGGCAAAAGCAACCACAACAACCCACACCCACTGATGAAGGTTCTGAGTCTGAATCTGAAACTGAATCGGGTGATTCAGAGGATTTCGAGAGTGCGAAAGCCTCTATGCGACCCTCTGAAAGCTCTGATCAAGAATTAGAGGAACCATTGTTCACAATAGGTCGTTTTTCTCCTAAGAAGGAAGAGGAGAGTGTTGAAGACTTAAGGCTAATTCGTAGGTCACAGAGAGCCACAAAAGGCAAACCTCCAAAGAGATTTGCTGATGAGTTTGCTAAGATAGAAGTAACAGCTGTTAAAAGCTCCAAGAAGGTATTTGAACCTTCAAGTTTCCAAGAAATCCAGGGTTTGGATTCAAAGGAAGCTGAGCCATGGTTAAATGCCATGAAGGCTGAGCTTGATTCCTTAGAAAGGAACAAAACATGGGAGCTAGTTCCAGTAGTTCCAGGAATGAAACTGCTTGGAAGCAAATGGGTCTTCAAAGCGAAGACAGATCAAAATGGCAAGATAGTCAGACACAAAGCCAGATTGGTAGCCAGAGGTTTTGCACAGGTACCAGGTGAAGACTATCACGAGACCTATTCACCCACAGTGAGATATGAAAGCATTAGGCTTATGCTCAAGCTAGCTGCAGAGGAAAATCTACACATTAGTCACCATGATATTAATACAGCTTTTCTGTACGGATCTCTAGATGAATCACTTTATATGCTTCCACCTGATGGCGTACAGGTAAAACAGGGATTTGTTTGTGCTCTGAAGAAATCCCTTTATGGTCTCAAACAAAGTGCACGGTGTTGGCACACAAAACTCACTGAAGTATTGTTTTCTCTAGGTTTTCAGCAAGGGAAAGCTGATCCATGTGTATTTGTCAAAGAGGAGGGGCAAAAGAAACTGTACTGCTTGTTTTATGTTGATGATTTATTATTCTTTTGGAAAGATGTTGCAATGTACAATAACGCCCTAGCTCAACTGAAAGAGCACTTTGACATGAAAGATCTTGGTGAGGTAAACAACTACCTATCTCTGGAAATAGAGAGAGATCAAGATGGTAACATTCTAGTACACCAGTCACGAAAAATTGCTGATGTGTTAAGCAAACTAAATCTGATGGATGCTAACCCTGTAGACACACCGATGACAACAGGTTATCAGGTAGATGACACTGAAGAAGCATTTTCTGACACTACACTGTACAGGAGTGTGCTAGGCAAGCTAAACTTCATTGCCAGATGTTCAAGACCAGACATTGCTGTTAGCTGTAATTTGCTAAGCAGACAAGTCAACAATCCTAGTGTCAAGGATTGGAAAGCTCTGAAACGCATAGCGCGGTATTTGAAAGGCACTATGCATTACAGACTGAGATTTAACAATCAGAAGTCTGGTGGTCTTGAGATATTTGCAGATGCAAGTTTTGGAAGTGACACTACAGACAGGAAAAGTACGTCTGGAGTTTGCTATATGTACAATCAGAGTCTGTTTGATTGGTCATGCAAAAAGCAAACAACAGTTAGCTTAAGTACTTGTGAAGCTGAACTGAATGCACTGTCTTATTCACTTAAGGATTGTGAATGGTTAGTACAATTGTGCAAAGATATGAAAATTCCTGTCAAATGTCCAATCCAGGTTTACCAGGACAACAAAGCATGTTTGGCTTTGCTCAAGTCTGAAGGTTGTAAGCAAAGCACAAAGCACTTGCAATTAAAGTTGCAGCATGCTAGGGAATGTATTCAGAAGGGACTCGTAACGGTGTCCTATATGCCAGGTAATGAAATTCCTGCTGATGTATTATCCAAGATTGTATCGAGGGATCAACACTGTACCTATGTGCAGAAGTTGGGTTTGTACTGATATTGTGCAAACACGCTGCCCAGTGATGTTCACAGAAAGGGGAGGATGTTGGTTTCTGCTTTCCTTCACTGTGCAGCTTTGCTTGTCATGAGACAGGTATTTACATTCCACAGTCTGTACTGTTGGAGTTTCTCACGGGAAAGGGAGACTGGATGTGACGTACACTGGTTTCCTGTTTTTTTCACTGTTGTTGATTCTCTCCGTGCTGTTGAGGAGAGAGGATGCATTTTCTGCTCCGGCAGAGAGGCAAGATGTCTTTCTGTAATATACCAGCTTTGAACTGTAAATAAAGCAATTTAGAGTATGTACCACATTTTCCTCATCCTTCCGCTGGGCACGACAGACTCTGCTTTAAATCAACATTATATGACCTTATATGACCAACTGACCTTATACATCTTACTTAATTTGACTGGTGTTATATACCATCGATATATCATTTTCATAACATTTTCTTTAATTGTGGTGCATGCTGTAAATCTCATCCCTTCCTTCCATAATTTTATCCAATCATCAAATTGAATGTTATGTCCAAAATCTTTGGCCCATTGAATCATAACTGATTTAACCTCTTCATCCTTCAAATGCCATTCGAATAATAATTTATACATCATAGATAAATTTTTAACTTCATTATTCAATACTTCTCGTTGAAACCTAGATTCTTTTTCAAAATAGCCTCTTTCTGCAACCTCTTTTCTAAACATTTCATTAATCTGAAAGTAATGCAGCCAATCATTTACATATTCTTTCACTTCTTCATATGGTTTCATTTTCCACTTACTTCCTTCTTTTTCGATTAAACTCCCATATGTTATCCACCTCCTAGTCATATTGATCTTTTTAACACTTATCACCTCTAATGGTGATAGCCAATGTGGGATTTTTGGTTCCAGTAGGTTTTTATACCTACCCCATACCTCGATCAGAGATCCTCTAATAATATGATTTTCAAAACCTTTATGCACTTGTTTCTTTTCGTACCATAAATATGCGTGCCAACCAAATCTATTATCATATCCTTCCAAATCTAACAAATCTGTATTTTCTAATTTGTACGCTTGGTTATTGCAATATTTTCCGTTATTATGTTATTAACAATTAGTTTTGCTCTTTGTTCGGAATATATTGCCTTTATACCATTTAGAAAAGATTGGCCCATATCCATCACTTCTAGGTTTTTTAACATAAATTCCCAAGAAATATTATCAAAGGCTTTCGCCGCATCCACAAAAATTAACATAGCTTGTTTATCCTTCCTGTTAGTCAGATATTCCATTATATCAATTATATTTCTTATGTTGTCCTTCATCTGTCTACCAGGAAGGAAACCTGCTTGATCCTTCTGTATCATTTCCTTTAAAATTCTTTTCATCCTATTTGCCAAAATGTTTGCGAACATTTTGTAATCATTATTTAATAATGAGATCGGCCTGTAATTCTTCACTTCCCAATCACTCAGTCACCAGAAGGATACAACAGGAAACCAGTCCTCTGTCCAAATGCAAAAACTGAATTCACTGGAGGATGATCTGTTAGAGCCAGCAATTTATTTTCAAGGCTGGCTCTAGATGCATCAAAAAAGCGTTTCAGGAAAACATGTTGTAAACTTCATAAAGGGAAATCACGTTGGCAAAACGATGGGATTCCACAGCACCATCTGGTGGCACGATGTTATAAAGTATATGAAGCATTTTTCATTACTAATGTAGCTGAACCCCAAGTTTCCACTGGATTCCCAAACTACGCTCTTTCTGTTCCCCTCAACGTCCAATAATGTATTTCAATGTAGAAAGAGTCCTGAATACTTTTCTGGTTAATCCGTTCTCTACAATCTTTGCAAAGGGTTTGCTGTGCTGAGACGGTCACACCCATTTGTCCCTTGGCAGAAAAAGAAACAGGCAATAAATAGCAGTAGTAGCTTAACTTATGGCAAGGAAGATGTTGCTCATGTTTGAAGAATCAGGTTCAATGCAGCCATTGTATACGGCCGGGGGGCATCTCATCTCACCCGATCCTGGTGGGTGGGTTTGGAAAATGCATGAGGCTTTCGGCAATATGCTGGGGTATCTCTGCAATGCAAGGGTGATGAGGGCAGTGGTTCTCTTTGGCTATTTGGTGTACTGGTATACTGATTGTTAGCCAAAATCCTAATGGGCGGAGGGACCAATGTTGAACACAGTGTCCTAGACCTCCATGCCCACCTGATACAGTGGTACCTCGGGTTACATACGTTTCAGGTTACATACGCTTCAGGTTACAGACTCCACTAACCCAGAAATAGTGCTTCAGGTTAAGAACTTTGCTTCAGGATGAGAACAGAAATCGTGCTCCAGCGGCGCAGCGGCAGCAGGAGGCCCCTTAGCTAAAGTGGTGCTTCAGGTTAAGAACAGTTTCAGGTTAAGTACGGACCTCCGGGATGAATTAAGTACTTCACCTGAGGTACCACTGTACTATCTTATGTGAAAAGAATGCCTGTTCCTTCCAATTCACAAGACACTTATTATATGAGGCTGGGAGGAACCTTCTTGATTTTTGCCTGTGTTTGCATGCATTTGGACAGCATTTTGAAGCCAGATGTCAGACTGGAAGCAAAATATAGACCACAAGTTCACTTGCAAACTTTATTGAAAGTAACCATTGAAGCATCTGAGAAAACAATATTACAAGGTATTACTCTCACGTTATTTCTGCATGCAAAACTAGCAATCGTTTTAACTATTATTATCGAACTCTATCGTGATTGGCCACCTAGAACTCCCACCAGTCCACACTACTTAAAAGCTTTGCTATGTTCCAGTTACATTGCAATGTTCAGGAAAGAGAAAAGAGAACATTTGAACTCTCCAACCAAGGAGGGGTTGGGAAGAACAGAGGGGTTCCATGAGCTCCAGGAAGAGAAGAATTGAGAATCTGATGGACAGGACGCAGGAGAGTCCAAATAGAAGTGGTTCCAGACTCACCCCAACCATCTTGACTGACTGTGTGGAATGAGATGTTCTAAGAACGTGGTTAAGAGCTGATAAATCATCAGGGTCCTGTCAGAATTAGGGCAGATGCCTGTTATGCCAAATGTACGATCCCTCTCTAGGAATGGGACTCATGATCATTCAGAGTTTGCAGAGAATCATGAGACTCAGACAGAGAACAGACCAAGATAGAAAACTGTCCTATGACTTGAGGCAGATGGTTTTGCTCACAAGCATGCAGAGACCATCCAAGTTCGCCCTCTTGTTTAATGAATCTCATCACTATCCCAACCACAAGCGAATGTTTTGGATAAAATTTTCTGTGATTTGCCCAGTTCTAGCAAGGGAGGGGAACTCTGGCCTCTGGGCATAAGGAAGCATTCTGGTCTTCCCCATTTGGCACAAGAGGCTATTTCAGAAGACCCCCACCCCAGCCCACATCCACCCTACGCCTGACTTCATATGAGGTCAGGTGTGGGGAAGGTAAGAGTAGACAGTGTAAAGCACCGCTTGGTAGGTGTCGATGAACTCATCAAGGAACATCCCATCCCACCCTCTTGCTGCAGTCAACTGCACACTTTTGTGGGGAGAAGTTACAGTGAAGGAATGCATAAATGAGTGGACACAAATGGGTGGTCCTCTTCTCTGGAACAGGAAGGAGGAGCAATTTAGGAACAGAATAGTAAAATCAGTCAAAACATAAGTCAGTTTCACAGCACGACACTTTCTGTTTAGTTTTATGTGATTGTTCCGTTCCACATGCCAGTTTCAGAAAAAAAAGGCCACAGTCTTCGACGGCTTTCACCAATTCACCAGTTTTAACTGGAGAGAGATAGAGAAGTATCTTTGTTGAGATTAACCAGTCAATGAAGATAATTTTATTGTATTAGTCCAAAATCCATACCAAAAGAGAGGACAAAGTTACATGAACTACACTTTACAATTTGAACTCAATCTTGAAAAGTTTACTGAAAACAGACATTTGAATTTATTTTGCTAAAGCTACTTAAGTGTCAACATTAAAATAAAAGTAGGTTAAAGCATATGCAAAATATATGTCTAAATAAAACAAACCCTTAAATCTCAGAAACTCCACCACTGTTTTCAAGGATAAATCGCAAATACTTTTCCTTCAGCCTGAGAAATAGGCCACTTTCCAAGTGACATGCCAGTTCCTTGAAGCAGAAACCTTACCTTTTCTGTCCCTCTCCAACATTTCATCTTTTTAGGCAAGGTCCCTCTACATAATATGGCTTAATATAAGAATATATCTGGCATTCAAGACTCTAATGAGGTAGCTCTTCCAGTACTGCTGGAAGACTGTTGCACAGTCTGTCTTGCAGTGATATGTCCATGTGTTGGGTTGAAATAAGCGACAGACGAATGGCAAGGTGTCATACGGGAGGCATCTCTCAAGCATGTCTCGGCGAGTCCCTTTTATTGAATATTACAGCATTACCACATATGTGCTTGTTGCTGATTGGTTAACATGAATATAATGCAAAGGTTGAATATAGGTATTAATCATCAATAGATTAAAGGTTGGGAAAGGGAACAGAGAATTAGACAGGCGTGAAACCTCCTTATTAAACTATTAACTAGTGATTGAGTATCAAGACTTAAACTATTACTAATGATTAATATTGCACGACATGAAAGAACATAACAATCGCATTCCGTAGATGTGGTCAACAATGCGTTAAGAACAGGTCAGGGTAGTGAACTCAATGTGAACTGATCAGAACATTCCCAGACCCATGCGCAGAGGCAAAAACTTCCCAGCACCAATCAGACTGCTGCATTCTGAATCCTATTGTTCTAGGACCAATTAGACTGCTGCATTTTGGATCCTGTTCAACTCAGTACATAACACCCATACACACAAAATCCCCCTCCGCCAGGTAAACATGTTAAAAAGATACCTTGCCACATTGATAGCTTGCTCCACTGAGATCTATGGCCAACACTGTAGAGCCATAAACTTCCATGAAGGGGGGTGAAGGGGGATGGCAGGAATGGCAATTACAGTGTCCCAGGTCTTTGAGCAAGGTCGAAGATACATGCAAAATTAAAGGATCACTTATATATCACTCATGGAAGACTGGCAGAAACACATGGCTGTGCATACCATTCATTACGCTGTACAAATGAAAGCTGCTAACACAACGATTCGGGAATATGGGCTGGCCAGCAGTCACCCATTCTGTTTCATCAGGACCCAGTACGGGCTACATGATCTCCTGCAATGATTTTGCAAAGTTTTTTGCAGATAAAGTCCCTCAGATTCAGGAAGAGTTAGACTCCACCATAGGAGCAGGGCCAGGGCAGGAGAGTGCTAGAGTCCTGTCTAGTCAATTTGCGTGGGATCAATTCCAATCTGTTATACATCCTCCAACTGCCTCCAGACACTCACACAAGGACACAAGTATGGTACAAGGACTTTGTTTTCTACACTGAGGCCCACCATAAAAAAGGAGGAACGTCGACAGGAGAGTCTCCTTACCGGAAAAGGTTTCTGACATCATACAGAATGATGCCTCACATGTCATATCATTCGGTAGGCATGGCTTGCCAGGACCGTTTATGATGCATCTTCTGCATATCACAGCATCTGTTGTAAGAGACAGTATTTCATTGGTGGAAGGACCAATTGATATTCAGTGCCCTAACCCACCAAGATTCCTATCAGCACACATAGCTGTCAGAAGAGACCCCAGAACAGAAATGGTATAATCTTTTTTCCCTTGGACAGTCGGACAAAATTTGCATCTCTGTGTATATATTAAGAGATGGAAATTGTACGCAAATTTGTAGCATGCTCCTGTGGCCTGAGACTAGCAAAACCTTCCGCCTAGACAGCTGGACCTTCTTTCTCGAAGATGGTACACTCTGAATTGAAGCAATCGTCAGTCGGGTTTTCTGTGGATTGACGTTTGTTTGGATTCAGCCGAAAGTAGCGAGTTTTCCTGAAGAAAGTGGTGGGGGGAAATGGAAAACCCCTTGGCCCTTGCCTCAAAAGCACAGGATGAGTAGCAGTGTGCATGAGCCCTAAATCTCTCCAACTATACACATGCAACAAGAGGTGGGTGATTTGATTCACTTCTACAAACACAGGGAACTGCCTTGTCTATTTTGCCCCATTATCAGGATACTCCACGATCTTCTCACTGAAGCATTCAACTGGAGATGGTAGGTAAGGGATTAACTTGGGGCTTTCTTCACGGAAGGCAAGAGCTCTAACACTGAAATATCACAACCCCACTAAAGGAGGCATATATTCCACTCTTACCCCAAAGTACATCCCCCCCCCCCGGGTTGCTCATAGATTTAATCTATGTAGAAGAGTGGCTTATTCTTGCTTCACCTGTTCAAGGACAGGAAGTGGGGACCATACTCACCTCCAGTCCTGAGGCAAAGCAGAACACAGAATGTAAGTAGCCAGACCTGAAGCAGACGTGGCCTTTGATTACCAAGAAACAAGCTCTGCTCCATTGGAATGCCTTTTGTATGGAGAGACAGCGTTCAAAGCCTAGCAGCTGAGAAACCACAGGTTTTAGGGCAGACAGGAACACGTTGCTCAGTTTGAGGAGCCGTGTTCAAGACGTCCATTATATAAGGCTGGGAGGAACCCTCTTGGCTACTCACCTCATCCTGGTGGCATTGAAAGGTCCAAAGAGCCTCTGGCAATATGCTTGGGTCACTCGGATGGGCAGCAGAGAGTGAAGGCGATGGTTGTCTTGGGCCCTTTCAGGCATAAAGTGCTGACTGTTAGCACAAATCCAGATGGGCTGAGGAATCAGCTGCATGCTGTACAGAATGTCGCGGACCACAGCGGATGCCTGATGCTATCTTATGAGGGTTTTCTGTTCAGCTCCAGGTTTCAATTGTAATAGTACGATGTGCCGAGCAGGCAACTCTCAACCAGCCTACAGATGAAACACAGTGGGTGACTTCTGGCCAGTCCATATTCTCGAATCGTTGTGTTAGCAACTTTCTTTTGTATCTCACTGTTGCTCACAGTGGAATGAATGATGTGCACAGCCATGTGTTTCTGTTCTCCATGAGTGATAAATATTTGATATTGCATGTATCTCCAACTTTACTCAAAGATGTGGGACATGGAGAGACAGCAGACTTGCAAGACAGACTCTCATTCCTGGCAATCCCATGAACAGATATTCTGGCCTCCTCCATATTTCTTGGAGCCAAACTGCATCCAATAGGAGCTGCTGCCTTTAACTGGCGAGAGGTGGAAGGTTGGCTGGTTAGTCAGTTGACTGAGGCCCTTTTATTTTGGAATCTGAGTGCAAAGACTTGGAGAAACAGACTAATATGCTACGGTTACATTAATGTTTCCAGATGCTGACTGGGCTCATGTGATTTGTGTATGGGATTCTATATGAACACTGCCATATATGATCCAAGAGTGTTTTGCAGAATGGAGGATCTGCTTTGTTGTATTTTTGCCTGTGCTTGCCAGAAGCTGGAGGGAAAGCAGGAGGGTGAGAGGAAGTGCTGCTGAGCACAGAAGTCTGTTGCAAAGCATGGAATATGGCCCATATAATTAAGATTTCCTCAATTTTGAGGAAAGGAAAGTATTAGGTACAGTGATTTCTTTTGTGATCAAGATACAGTAATTACACAGGAGCCAAAATAGAATTCAGACCGCAACTTCATTTTTAAATTTTATTGAAAGAAATCATTGATGCATAAGGTACTAGAAATAATACAAACTATTATTTTCGCATTATTACTGCATGGAAAACTAGCAATGATTTTAACTATTATTATTGAACGCTATCGTGGTTGGCCACCTAGAACTCTCACCAGTCCAAACTACTTAAAACTTTGCTACGTTCCAGTCAAATGGCAATGTTCAGGAAAGAGAACAGAGAACATTCGAGCTCTCCAACCAAGGAGAGGTTGGGAAGAACAGGGTTCCATGAGCTCCAGGAAGAGAGGAATTGTCACCATCCCTAGCACAGGTTATTGTAGTTGATAACATCTTCTGTGATTTGCCAAGTTCAAGCAGGGATGGGGAGTGATAAAGAGACCCACAAATCCTATAGACAGTGCAAATCACTGCTTGGTACATGTCCATCAACTCTCCAAGAAACGACCCATTCCACCCCAATACCTAAGTCAATTATGCACTTTTGCAAGAAGAACTTACTTTTCAAAATATCAGACAATGAAGGAGTGCATAAATGAGTGAGCACAAATGAGTGGTCCTCTTCTCTGGAGCAGGAAGGAGAAACGCAGTTGTGAACTGGATGAGTGTTTGATTAACAAGTATGGATAGCCAAATTGGGGGGAATTCCCGTGCTCATGGAGGCTTTCCAATGCACTTAGGGAGCTGGAAAATTATCGGTCTAAGATGTATGGCAGCCCTCCGAAAATACAGAAGCCTCCCCAGGAGTCCATTATATAAGGCCAAAAGGAACCTTCTTGGCTTCTTGCCTCATCCTGGTGGCCTTTAAAGGTCCAAGGAGCCTTTGGCAATATCCTGAGTTGACAGTGAAGAATAGCAAGGATGAAGGCAGTGGTTGCCTAGGGCCATTTCAGGCACAAAGTGCTGGTTGTTAGGACAAATCCAAATGGGCTGAGGGATCAGCTGAATTCTGCACAGAACGTCCCTATCTCATCTTTTGTGGAAGAATTGCTTGCTCCTTTCATTGGGTTTCCTGTTCAGCTCTGGGTTTCAATTGTGACACGAAGACGTTCTGAGCAGCCAATTCTCATATAGCCTGCATTCTGGCTTGATCATCCATATTGCTAGAAAGTTCTGTTAGAAGGAGCTCACTTTTTTATTCTGTTGCTGCTCACAGCAGTATGAAAGGTGTGCACAAGTATGTTTCTCTGTCCACCCTCCGTGAGTGATACATGGTGAAGGAATGATCACCGGGTGGGAAGCACACTTCCACCTCCCGGGTGTGGAGCACACTTCCACCCGCAGACAAAGCCACAGCTGTCTGAACATCATGCCCCTCTATCTAACCTTTGCTCTCTTAGTGGTCTGCTGTGCCCTGTCTCTGACCTTTGTCTCCTTCGTCATACATGGTTCAAGGGGAAATGACGCAGTGGAAACAGGTGCCAAAATAACTTTGTACCACCCCTCGATCTCAGGATTGGAAGACGTGTAAAGGTCACAGTCCAAAATCTATCTAACTGGTTTTGCATATTGTGCTAATAAAAAGAGCTTCAGCAGAGCTAGCTGGCAGCTTGCTTATGCACAGCTCACCTGCATTACCAACTCCTGCCTCGTGTCCTTCACTTCCCATGGTCCTTTAATATTGCATCCATCTTAGACCATGTTCAAAGACATAGGACCCGGAAATCAAAGCAGGTGAGCCCATGTCATTAGTTTGCCTCCTCATGGATTTTTGTGGCTCCACAGCATTGCTTATAGATGCCAGTTTAACAAGTTATCAGTTGATTTGTGTGGTAATTTACCACCATCAGCTGAAGGGCAAGTTTTGCTACCACTGTTCCCAAGTGCATTGATTGCCTTTCCTCTGATTGGAATGAATGGCAACTCTTCACTTGCAGGGGAGTAGCTCAAGTGTTGCAGTTGAGAGAACTATGGGCAGAAGCTGAAATCTGTACTCTGACTTTTGACTGCTATAGCCAGGATGCCCCTTGTTAGAAAACCCAATCTTGCTCTGGATAGGAAAATCTGGTAATAACTAGTGGCAACAGGTCAGCTTCTGGAAAACAACAAGTTGCTTGGCTTGAGGAACCAGGTTCAACATAGCCATTATATAAAGCCAATAGGAAGCTTATTAGCATCTCAGGGCACCTGATCCTGATGGGGTTGGTGGGTACCAGAAGCCTCTGGCAACATGCTGGGGTGTCTGAGGAACAACAAAGATGAGGCGAGTGGCTGCCTTTCAGTATTGGGGGTAAAATGAGCTGATTGTTAGGCTAAATCCCGATGGACTGACGGAATAGCCAAATGTTGTACAGAATGTCCCGGACCTCTGTAGCCACTTGATAATATCTAACGTGGAAGGAACACCTGTTTCTGGCAACATCCTTGGGTCACTCGGATGGGCAGCGGAGAGTGAAGACGATGGTTGTCTTCTGCCCTTTCAGGCATAAAGTGCTGGTTGTTAGGACAAAACCAAATGGGCTGAGAAATCAGCTGCATGCTGTACAGAATGTCGCAGACCTCAACGGATGCCTGATGCTATCTTATGAGGGTTTTCTGTCCGGCTCCAGGTTTCAATTGTAATAGTACAATGTGCCGAGCAGGCAACTCTCAACCAGCCTGCAGATTAATAATAATAATAATAATAATAATAATAATAATAATGCTTTATTATTATTTATACCTCACCCATCCGGCTGCCACTCTGGGCGGCTGCCAACAAAATATTAAAATACAGTAATGCATCAAACTTTAAAAGCTTCCCTAAACAGGGCTGCCTTCAGATGTCTTCTAAAAGTCTGGTGGTTGTTGTTCTCTTTGACATATGGTGGGGGGGGGCCTTCCACAGGGTGGGAGCCACAACGGAGAAGGCCCTCTGCCTGGTTCCCTGTAACTTGGCTTCTCGCAGTGAGGGAACCACCAGAAGGCCCTTGGCACTGGACCTCAGTGTGCGGGCAGAACAATGGGGGTGGAGATTCTCCTTCCGATATACTGGACTGAGGCCGTTTAGGGCTTTAAAGGTCAGCACCAACACTTTGAATTGTGCTCGGAAACATACTGGGAGCCAATGTAGGTCTTTCAAGACCAGTTGTGCTGGTCCCAGGGGCTAACCGAGAGACGAGGTCCGAGTCCAGTCTGAGGTCGAAGGTGCAATATGAAGGCAGTCCATAGAAGTTGAAGCTGGGTGCAGGGCAGGGTGTCGGGTGAGGTCAGGAGCTCCGGCAGGGAAGCAGGTCAGTGGATCAGGCTGGAACTGACAACCAACAATGTTGCTCCCGCAACTTGGGGCTGGGGCTGGCTGGCTTTTATCTCCCCTGAGGCATAGGGCGGACCCGATCCTGAGGTGACTCGCCTCTCCTGGCCTGGAGGCGAGTACTCCTCCTGTGGGAACTTAGTTCCCTCCGCCTCTCTGCCCTGAGCCTCTGCAGCTCAGGAGAGGCTGGAGGGCTACCAGACCCAGAGGCAACCTCAGCTTCCTCTGACTGGGCTGAGAGTGGAGCACCTGCAGGCAATGGGTCCTCCATCCCCTCAGGAGCCAGAGCAGACTCAGCTGGTGCCTGCACCTGAGGATCCAGCACAGGTGAGGACCCTTCAGACTCATGCCCCAGCCCCAGCTCAGCTAGTTCTGGAGGCGGGGACTCCTGTGCAGGCTGGGATTCCTCAGGTTCAGCCTCCGAATCCGATTCCTAGGCCATCACACCAGTGTTATGTGGTTTTGGTGGCCGCTCCCAGTCACCAGTCAAGCTGCCGCATTTTGGATTAGTTGTAGTTTTTGGGTCACCTTCAAAGGTAGCCCCACGTAGAGTGCATTGCAGTAGTCCAAGCGAGAGATAACCAGAGCATTCACCACTCTGGCGAGGCAGTCTGCGGGCACGTAGGGTCTCAGCTTGCGTACCAGATGGAGCTGATAAACAGCTGCTCTGGACACAGAATTGACCTGCGCCTCCATGGACAGCTGTGAGTCCAAAATGATTCCCAGGCTGCGCACCTGGTCCTTCAGGGGCACAGTTACCCCATTCAGGACCAGGGAGTCCTCCACACCCACCCACCTCCTGTCCCCCCAAAACAGTACTTCTGTCTTGTCAGAATTCAACCTCAATCCATCCTGCAACCGCCTCCAGACACTCACACAGGACCTTCACTGGTTCTGAGTTG